GCCGCGGGCGAGGACGGCGCCGCCGCCGCGGAGCGACAGGTACGAGGCGCCCCGGGGCCACCCGCTGCCACCGCCGCTGTCACCGGGAAGCTCCTTCCTCCCCGGTGCTGCCCGGTGCTGTCTCCTGCAGGAGCCGCCCTGCTCGGACAGGGAGGAGGAGGAGGAGGAGGCGGCAGGACTCTCCGTGCCCGGGGTCTATTTCAGCTGCCCGCTCACGGGCGCCGTGGTGAGGAAGGGCGCCAAGGACAAGCACATCCGAGAGGCCATCCTGGCAGTAAGCGCCGCCCGCGCGTCCCTCCTTTTTCCCTCATCCCTAATCCCTATAACACTCCCTTTTTCCATCCCTCCCTGCCTGGGCGGCACCGCTCCGATCCGGGTCCCCAGAGGCCTCCCCCGGTGCCACCCTGACTCCTTGTCCCTCAGTATTTCTCCGTGGATCCCGTGGCCAAGCACATCCGAGAGGCCATCCTGGCAGTAAGCGCCGCCCGCGCGTCCCTCCTTTTTCCCTCATCCCTAATCCCTATAACACTCCCTTTTTCCATCCCTCCCTGCCTGGGCGGCACCGCTCCGATCCGGGTCCCCAGAGGCCTCCCCCGGTGCCACCCTGACTCCTTGTCCCTCAGTATTTCTCCGTGGATCCCGTGGCCGCCTCCATCATGGAGATCCACACGTTCAACAAGGACCGGGAGAAGGTGCGCGTGGGCGTGGAGACCATGGCCAGGTACGGGGGACGGACGCGCAATGCCCAAAGAAACAAACGCTGGATGTGCCAAAATGCCAAAAAGTTGGAAGCTGCTTTAAGAGCTAGTCCCTTGGTCTAAGAGGTTTGGGAACTGCTGCTCAGGGCTCTGTATTTTTACATCTCTCAGCTGTTTCGGTTGTAATGAGTGTTTTCATCCATCATGTACATTCCTTTTCCTGCAGGTACCTGGATAATATCTATCTTCATCCAGAGGAGGAGAAGTACCGGAAAATCAAACTACAGAACAAAGTGTTTCAGGTAAGAGACTCCTGTGGGTGCCCTTTGCTGAGGGATCTCCTTTCCTGGAGCAGCCTACACTGAATTTTTTACCTTTTCTCGTAGGAAAGGATAAGCTGCCTGGAAGGGACACACAAATTTTTCCAAGCTGTTGGCTTTGAGACGAAAACACTACCCATTCCAGAACAAGGCAAGGAAATACCATGTACTAAAGTGTAGGGAGACTTAGGAGGCACCTCAGGTTGCTCCGAGTGCTTTAACCTCCATGGCTGCAGGAGAAACAGCCCCTCACTCTGCAGCTCCCTTGTTATTCAGAGCACTATCGGGTTCCTCATTCTTAAAAGTTCATATATGAAGTAAAGAACAAGTCTCCAGCGTGTGCTCTTGCTGCAGAGACCACAGAGGAGTACTACGTGCTGAAGGAGGAGATGCTGAGCAGGTTGGAAGACCTCAAGGACTACAAGGAGCAGCTTTTGAGCTCGGAGCCGGTGCGAGCGCGGCTGGAGCGGCAGCTCTCCGTGTTCAAACCCTCCCTGGCAGCCGCCCGCTTCGAGCTGCCCAACGACTTCTACAACCTCACGGCCGAAGAGATCAAGCGGGAGCAGAGGCTGCGGTGAGGAGGCCGAAGGGAGGCCCCGGGGGGCTCCTGCCTCTCCATCCTGCTCAGATTCCCGTCTGTCCTCAGGTCGGAAGCGGTGGAGAAGGCCTCGATGCTGCGGACGAGGGCCATGCGGGAGCGGGACGAGCAGAGGGAGATGCGCAAGTACAACTACACCCTGCTCCGCGTCCGCTTTCCCGACGGATACATCCTCCAAGGCAATGCCCTACTCACCCTTCCTTCGTAACCCGCCCAAACCCTTGTACTGCAAGAGCTTGACCAACAGGCAGGGTTGGAGATGTGCAGAACCCAGCGGGCGGGATGAAATAACAGGCTCCCGGTGTGGGAGCAGCTCTGGGAGGGCTCTCTGCTGTGTCTGAGCACTTGCTTTATCCGAGTAGGGCTGGGACCATAATGCAGGGAGAGGGTTGGGGCTCAAGGCACTGTTAATCAGCATGGGCTCGTTAGAGAAGGCAGCAGGAGGCTGCTGCCGTGGTGGCAACAGAGCAATTCCTTTGCAGCTGAGTGCTGGAAATAACTCCAGGCTTCCCCAGCTCTTTGCTGCTGCCTGGCAGGGACTTAGCACAGTTGAAGTGACACTTTTCTTGAGCGAGTCTGCTTCTGTAGCTGAACCAGGCTGCACTTCTAGGGCATTGAAGCAGTTCATAAACTTAGCATCAGTACTCAAGCCCTACAGCAGCTACCACTCTTGTTACTACTTGAAAACAAGGCTACAAAGAAACTTTTTTTCCCCCCCCTCAATGTATTGCCTTCTTTTTTCATGGCAGGGACATTTTATGCACGAGAATCAATATCTGTGCTCTACAGTTTTGTGAGAGAAGCGCTTGTCAATGACTGGCTGCCCTTTGAGCTGTTGGGGCCTGGAGGTGTCAAACTGACAGACGAGACCTTGGCCTTCAATGAATGTGGGTTGGTAAGTTTGTTAAAAGGTAAGAAAAGCTGGTGGAGACGCTGTCCCAGGGGAGCTGGGCCAAGAACCAGAGCGGGGTTCTACAATCTTCCTTCTCCCTGGAAACCCTGTTAGAGGTTGTCAGGTCTCTAGGAACACGTTCAACGTTCCCAGGAGTGGAGTTGCAGCTTCCTAATCCTGCCCTTCCTCCTGCAGGTGCCCTCGAGCCTCCTGACCCTGGTGTGGGATGCATCGGTCATGGCAGACATCCAGGCTGCGGGAGAGGAGCAGCCCACGAGCCCCCTCAAACCGCAGCTCCTCTCCCAGGTCCAGACCCTGTCATGAAATAAAGGGGAGCGGAGTCAGAGCTGAGGATTTGAGACTCTTCCTTCCTTTCCCTAAAGCCTGGTGGAGCTTCCAGCTCCGGGACCTTGGAAATGAGGCTCGTTTTAGCTCCATGCAGTGAGAGTCCAGATTCTGCCATGCCCCAACCCTTGCTGTCATCTCCCCTCCAGCAGCCTTGCCCACTAAAACACTACGGGGCTGCTTTTAATGGCTTTGAAAATCAAGTTCTAGCAGTTACTGCTTGTGGTATTTTCTAGATCCTGAGGACTTACCCCTCTCCTCCCTTGGAGGAGGGATTAGGTTCTAATTCAAGGCTGGATTACCAAATGATGGAGCCTGGATCCTGGGCTGGGCCTAGAACTCAGCTTTTCCTATCGCTTCTGTGTGCACTGTTAACTCCTACTGGAGAGAGTTTATTTAGATAAATTATATTGAGTCCAATTAAAGGGAATATTTAAAGATTGAGTGCTGCTGAGAGTTCTTTGAAACGTGGAAAAAGAGAGTTGCAGTTACGGGTGGGAGCTGAGGTCTCACCTGCTTTTTCAGCCACTATTTTAGAGACTTAATGGAATCAATTCCCAAATGGTATTAAATGAGAAGAAGCAACTGCAAGTGTTACATGTAGAAAATTGCAAAGACTGTTCTTTATACTATGCCAAACAGCTTAAAAATGAGGTAGAGACCCTTTTTTTTTTTATGTAAACATGTATTACAGTGCTGCATACAGGAGACTAGGTCAGCCTGCTGCTAGATTCAATTAGTACCAGCCCAACCCAAAGAGAAACAGCTGGCAGAGTCTTCCTCTTTTCTAAAGGTAAATCCTTGCTGCTGTTCTCTGTAGCAAGTAAGACCACAAACAGGATAGCAGACATAGCATAAATTCAAATATAATTGTACATCATTTATACCCAAGGCCATGCTATACAGAATTATGAACAGAAAGATTCCTCAGTGGCATCACAATAGGCTTATATTTCAAATTCCCGCCACTAGATTAGAGATAACTTAGATACTTTCCATTACAAAGAAGTATCAAAATTTCAATAATGCTTTATTAAGGACAGATTAAGATGCTTTTTTTTTTTTTTTTTTTTTGGGCAATTGTGCCATTGGATTCTGTAGCTGCCAACGTCGAATCTGCAAAACAGAACGTGTTGCAATTGTTTCAAATCTCTGTATTTGCCCATAGAATCAGATTGTTGCTATATGTGCTTTAAGTCTTATTTTGCCTGTATTCAGTGTTTGCCCTAACCTGTCGCAACCCTCTTTTCAACACATTTGTGAAGCTGTTTTTAACACTGGGTTACAGCAGCCCAGAATAAAATTACATCAAGCCTAAAAAAAGCAGCTTTACAGCCTTCACAGTGCTTTAGACTTAAATAGATGCAGCTGCACACGTGTCAACAGAGCCTGCAAGAAGCTCCTGCACCACATCCCAGTTCTCAAAGCAAAAAGTTCCAAACCTGAAGCAAAAAACTTATCTCACCGCAGTCTTTTGCGGTGGAAATAGACAAAAACAGCATGAGATTAAATGTATAAAGCTTCTTGTATCAAGAATCAAGATGTATGTATCAAGAATCAAGTTTCATGTATCAAGAATGGGTCACATGCACAAAGAAATCCATGTTTCCAGTCGAGCCTTTAGGGAATTTAGGGATCCTTTTGCTGAGCACAGAGTTCCTGCTCTGCTGCACGCCCATTGCCCCACCTTTGCCTGGCTGCACATCCACGATCATGCAGTCATCGTCTTCCTCATCTTCCTCAGTGTCTGCCTGAAACCCGTCCGTCTCCGCTGCTTCAGCCTTAGTGAGGAAAGGGGGGGAAAAATAAAGAGAGTTCCAGGTTATTAGGCTAATGGTGCAAACAAGCATGGACATTCCCAACTCATCCTCACAGCAGTTTGCACAGTCAGGCAGGAATATTTGTAGAAAAGGGAAGAAAAACCCCCACATTTCTGGCTCTAGACACTGACTTTTGACACGAGGCCTCGCCTGCAGCGGCGGGACGGGCGCCAAGCTCCTGCTCCAAGATCCCTCACCATTACACAATGCAGCAAGCAGCCTACGCAGCTAATAAATGCGGTCGAATCCTTAACTGAAATCTGATTTTTTTCCTCCTCCTGATTATTTCGGATGTTTCCTTGCTTCTGGAAAAATCACTCCTGGAGTGTCACATCCGAAGCCTCTTCTCCGACCCATGTCTCATCTGTTGGGTCAGGTTGGCTTTTATGTGGCGTGGGATGACAGCGCTTCCCTCTCTGACCCCATTTTTGCCCCGGGAGCAGCCCTAACTACTCATTTTGCAATAACAAACACGAGCGACACGAGGAGCTGCAGCTGCCCAGCAGTGACCAGCTGGGAGCATTCCTGGGATTGCAGCATGAGAAGCCTCAGATCCTAGAACTAGGTCCCAGGCCCCTAGCAGCTATTTCAAGACAATAAATTCTACATTCACGTCTTTCAGGAAGGCCTCAGGTCTCAGATTTCTCACTATTCCCTTCCTGCATATGGAAGGGAAACACTTCAAACACTTCAACACACTTCAAAATTGAACTGTTCTTTTGCTGCAGCTTCAAATCTCTGGCATAAGCATCAGGATGGAGTCCTACATACCAGAAACACAGAACCTGTCGGTCTAGACCTACCAACCATCCCTAATTTCCCCACAAATCCTGCCTTGCTCGAGGGGAAGGATGGGATCCTGATCCCACAACACTGCCAGTTTAGGTATCAGATATGAGAAGGTCCCTGGAGTCTCCCAGCATGTTGTTCCTAGCAGCATCACATCTCACAAGGGCAGCTTTACTTCAAGGTGTTTTCAGGAGCTTTGAAGATTTCAGGCTTGGGATGTCATTTTACTAAAAGCCCTTGAGCAGGAAGAAGGAAACAGGAGCTGGTTCTGAGCACAGTCTCCAGTAACTGCCAGAGATTTTGCCTCTGCCTTTATTTAGTGTATAGAGAAAAAAAATCTAAAACAACCTAAACAGATGGAGTTCGGGGGCTGAACAGCTCCTCACAAATCTGAGCCCGATCCGCACATGAATTCAGAGGGAGGAAGAGCCAAAGAACCCAAGAACAAGGTGGGAAGAGCCTGAAAAGCCTCATTCAAGGTTTCTCTTCCTTGTCCACAGGGGAATAAACCCCATGCACGGTGCAATCCCTGTCCTACCTGTAGGTTAGGAGGCAAACGGCGATAATAAGAAGCTTAATCCCTAGAGCCTCCCTGTCTTAAATGCAACAGCATCGCAGGGCTTAACACTATGTTACCCCAAAAAGCAGGGGAGACCACATCAAAGCTCAGATTGGAGCAAAATACACCAAATGCATCTCATTCTATTCCCATCATTTTTCTTCTTTTTCAACCAGCTCTTGAAACACAACTCTGTGTCTGACAGCAGAAGCATCAGAATTTACAGACTGTTACGGATTGAATCTAGCACATTTGGGCTGCATTTTCTCGGTACACAAGCAAGTGCTGCAAGCCATCAGCCCCAGCTATACCTCTGACAGCCACACACAAACATAAGAACCTGCATATACATTACATAAAGCTGTAAAACCAAGCAGACACTCAAAACTATTTGTGGCTTGGATGCAATCGCTGCCAAACAGCAAAAAATGGAAGAACAGCAGGAGAGCAACATATCAAATGGAACAGACAATCCAAGCTAGAGAGACACAAAAGAAACCTATTGCTTTAGAGTCACATAATGTGACTAGAGTCACTCCTTGCCCGCTAAAAAGGGATCTATTTGTGTCAACAGCTGTGTTTGCACCTTAATATTTTGCCTTTGTCTGTGACACAGCCCTGGCTGTGACAGAGCCCTGTGTTTTTGCCAAGGAAGGTGCCCAGGCTGGAGGAACTCACCTGCTCGGCGCCCCGCGGCCTCTTCATGAACTTGGTGATGGACATGCTGCCCGTGGGCCTCCTCTTCGCCGACACCAGCGGGGTCTGCGCGGGCGCCGGGCCGCCCGGCGCGCTGCCACCCTCCTCCTTCCCCGCCGAGGGCACTTGGGTGACGTAGTTCCATTGGCAGGGGACGGGGAGGTGCTCCTGCTCGAAGCTCTTGAGCACCTCGGAGTGGACGTACCAGCACATCCTGTACTTGGGCCGCTTGTCGTACACGGCGTTCTCGGAGATGAGCCGCTTGAGCCGGGCTTTGGAGGGGACGCCGCTGTCCTCGCCCACGGGCGTCTGCGGCCGCGACGCGTGGGGACTCGCGGGGCCCGCGTCGCCGCCCTCGTCGCTGAACAGTCCTTGCCGGCAGCACTCCTGGAATTCCTGGATGATCACTTTGCTCCCGTTCACGTTCCCATGGAGCAGCGGCAGGAGCTGGCCGAGGGCTGCAGAGAAGGAGGATCACACAGTCACTGCAGGGCAGAACTGGTGGGAGGTCAAGACAAGCCAGGCCGATACAACCCAACCGTGCCAATGCTCCAGGAAAGGCTACGACTTAATTTT